CTTATGACCACTAGACGAGGCAGTAATATACGAGTTTAGTCCTTCTTTAATACATGACGGGTGTTTTATTTTAAAATTCTTTTACCATACTGGTTATGCACTCACTTTTACTGGCCAAAGTTATTGATATTTATGAATAAGTTTTCTTTTATAAAGAGGGACAAAAGAACATGCGGCTCATCTGATGGTAAGTGTCGAGCGACGCCCATGAACAACTGCAACACCAGGAGAATTTTCGCCAGCTTTTAAAAAAGGAGTAAACTAGTATTCAAGTTACCTATCATTTTATTTTTTTTATTTATTTAAAAGGACAACCAACAAAACGAACACTAATACATGGATATTAAGGTAACATGAATATAAAACTAAAGCTAAGCGTCATCTTAATTATAGGCTGCCACGGCATGCGAATGTGCACTATGCAAATAAAACTTAAATAGGTTAGTTAATACTAAGCAAATGAAAACTTAAACATTTTAATCATCATTTAACAATCATTATTTTTATATGTTAAAAAAAATCAAACAATAGATATAGATACTTGAATCAAACAGACACCATTGACTCGAGAAACTGATCGAGCTTGCGTCTAAATTTCAACGGTCAATCATATAACCAAAGTCTTGATTTATTAGTCTACCACCATTTCCTAATTAGCAACTAGTAAGTGCATGTTAAGAAGTAGTTATCAATAACAAATAACTAGCTCTCAAGCTTCCGCAAATTGTGATAATAAAAAAAACATCGAATCATCGGCGACCGAGCTCGTTCTGATCGGCTTGACTCATTGGCGCTGTGAAGAGATGTTGCATTTATTTGCGTATTCTATCGTATCTACCATGGGGAGTACTCAGGGGAATTGTTCGGACTAATTCCAGCCACTCAGTTTCACCATCGCACATCGCGACAGACCCCGAGATACCATCCATACCATTTGGACGATTGGCGGTCCACTAATGTGCGATTTACAAGAGGTTTTCTTCCTCGCACAACATCCTTGTGTGACTAATTATTATTATATTATATTTTATTTTATTATGTTTATTTATGACTAAGTATATTATTTATTATTATAAAAATTTTGTATTAAAATTTTAAAATGTATGACTAATCCATTTTTTTTTTGGTAAGACCGAGATAATAGGAAAGACCAAGATAATATTTACTGTATTCTATCTCATTCTCTCGCAGGCTTAATCCTATAGATGTATATGTTTGTCTCTGTTTGTGTCGCTTTTTTGGTTCATCGCGTTTTAAATCACAATGATTCTAAAGCACCTTTCAATTCAAAAATAAAATACTTACTAGAAAAAATAGCCTAAAATAGTCCCGCTACGATGTCCACTATCATTTCTGAATGTTAAATAGAGTAAAATGACGCTGACGTCTGCGAACGCTTCGAACTCTGTTCCAATGTTGGTTGGCGGTATCTGCAATCAAAATACATTTTGGTTTTGTGTGTATAATACGAATCAATATTTATCATTTATATTTCATGTTAATACTCGTTAAGTTTCCTCAAAAGTTCTATAAATGACGGTTAAAACCGAATCGGAATCAATTCAGTAGTTGTAAGGTCATTAGCGAATACACACACAGATGCGGGAAAACTTTTTATAGTTTTAACACATTCAACAAATTTTATTATAAACCTATATATACACTAAATATTATATTTTACTATTAAAACTTTCAATGTCCCGTGACCCACACAAAATTCATTGCTATTGTTTTTATATTGCGTCTGGAAATCGGATAGTGAAAGTGCTAAACGAATAATTACTAGTTGGGGAAATTCTTTTTAGCCTAGCAGTCCGTCTAGTTAAGTACCAACCTCTTTTTTTTATAGGTGAGGGGGCAAACGAGCATGCGGCTCACCTGATGGTAAGTGACTACCGCCGCCCACGAACAACCGCAACATCAGGGGAATTGCAGATGCGTTGCCGGGCTTTTAAAAAGGAGTAGGATCTTTTCTTGAGGCTTTTTTCTCTCTTACCTTTTTCTGTCACAAAGTAGCAGTGCTTGTTCAGCTGTATCCGAATCAGATCTGAATGGTATAGAGTCCGTACAATTACTGAGTGTGGGATATTTCACATTAGTACCCAGAGGTGACAGCGTTTCTGTATCCTTCTTTAATTGAGTATGTTTGCAGGCGTCCATAGACAGCCACTTACCATCAGATAGACTAGTTAGCCAGTTATTTAATTACTATACATCGTTTTTCTCACGTGTACGTTTTCCAATTTGCCAATCTTCTTTAATTTAAAGTATAAAATTTTCTTTAATTTAAAGAAGTAAATTAAAAAATGCTTACTTTATCCAAAAAGGGCTGAACAACCTATTGATCAGTTCAACATTTGCGAGATATTCCCGTTTATATTTGATAGTTCAAAAAGTATGGTGATCCTTAGTAATACAAACAACGCAATGTATCGTCGGCAGTTGAGATAAGCAACTTTGTGCTTTGCCATTATCAAGTTTCATGTTAAATATCTATCATAAAATTATCAAAAGCCTAGGTTTTTGATTAAAAACGAGGTTGTGTCATAAACCTTCGACATTTACATATATTATATAAACTTAACGTGTCTGTACGTTTTATATTTTTGCGACAAAGATGATTGAGAGCAACTAAAAATATGTAATGAAATACATCTTTAGAATTGTCTGTCTATCTATTGTTTATGAACGTATCATGTCCAATCTATGTATTTCCAAAAAATAATTAGGAGGTTAAGAAAATAATGAAATAATATATTTACAGTCTTTTTAAGTTCTGTATATTAATTTTAATATATGAATTAAAATAAAATTCAAGTAAGAGTCTTGATGAGTACGGGATGAGTACGGGACTAATTTTTGGAACGAAGTTCCTTATCGCACGGTACGAATTTGACGAATAGACGCTAGGCGAGAATAAGTGCAAGATTTTTCTGTCACGACCTTTGTATAGTGCGAGCGAGATGGAATAATATCCATCTCCCTCGCACTTGTGCACCATGAAAGAAATATTATTTTAAATGTCGCTACAGAATAAATAATAGTACTAACGTAATGACCCTTCGTTTTAATAGACGCTAGTAATTCATTTATTTGTATTTGTTAATCAATAATATTCAACGTTAATCAATAATAATATACTTTGAAAGGTACTTCGTTCCAACCGAGTGTCCCACGACACTCACGAATATAGGCCTGTTCACAAATAGCTTCAAAAGTACTTTTAAAAACATCTTAGTTCAAAAGGAGGATGTTTGGCGGAGTTGTCCCCAGAGTCGTTTGTCAGGCGGGATGGCAGTTGTAGTTATTTAATTAGCTGTTACCAGGAAGACGTTGTTACCCATCTCCTGGTTTGTTTCCTCCTGTCACCTCTTACGACACCCACGGACGATGTGTTGTAGTGGATATTCTTCCATCATAACTAAATGGTGAAATCCTCTTATTACTGAAAAGTGTTTTGAAGCACAATTTTATGTTTATTAATCGGTCACCACTGAGCGATTTATCAAAAATTTTCTTCCTCGCACATACTCTTTGTGGAATCGGCTACCGCGAGCCATTTTTCAATACTAATATGACTTAGGGACCTTCAAGAAAATAATTTACTTATATTTAAACGGTCGGCAACGCACGGGAAATTTCCCTGATGTTGCAGTAGTTAATAGTAGCGGTAATCATCAGCATTTATCATCAGATGAGCTGCAAGCTCATTTTTACCCTCTTATATGAATAAAAGCAGAGAAGATTCCACCGCTAGGCCCCAATGCATGTTGCCGGATGAGCAGGTTGGCTCAAGATGTTATCTTTCACCGCTGTGCTCGTGCTAAATCAACGCTTACAACAATAACCTGATAAGTCCCGGCTAAATAGTCACATACCTTAATTATAATACTGAAAACCAAAATTTAGTTAGGATGTTATTAGAAGAAAACAACAAACGTTAATTCTTAACTTTTATTAAAAAATATATAAACATTCCTAACATACGGTTGAAAGGTTACATTTATATAAAAAAAAATATTATTTTTATTGTATTATATTATTTTATAATGTCTAAGAAGTATAAAGTAATAATTACATTTTCTAGCCTAAGACCCGATTTCACAACACAATGAAAAAAAAAAGTGTTGTACGAGATTAATCTTTCTTTAAATTTTAATGTATTGATTTTCTATTTTTATTTCACTTTATTCTATGTAAAATTGGATTGTTGAGCGAATAAAAATTATTTAGATAATTTTATCTTTTTATGTAAAAGTAATAAATCTTAGAGGTAATATATATAAAAATAATATAATACCCTTTTGTAACATAATTTTCTGTAAAATATAAATAGAGAATGTATCTACTGTTCTAGTTCTGGTGTTTCAAAAGGATGTTACATTTTCATTGGCGACGGTAGTCACCTACCATCAGGTGATCCGCATGCTCGTTTGCACCGTCTTATATAAAGAAAAAGATGAATCTCCACTTAATGATAAAATGTTGTAAGTAATGACTCTCTGGAATAATGATACTTATTCTGATTTTAATAGAACCAGGTAGTTGATGAGAATAAGGACAGATTCTTGAGTCATCAGATAAAAGTTATTTATCATAAAAAAGCAAAAAAAGTTCAAATAACATTTGCATGAATAAAATAATTATTCCAATTGTTTCATATTGTTATTTAGCTAGGTTATATTTTAGTTAATAACATTTATCTCATTGAAATTTTTTTTTAGTAAATATGGTATGTGTTATGTTGTTAGTAATACATCATTACTAACTACATAACACAAGGTTTATAAAGAATCATCATGATACCTTATTATTATAATTTATAGTATTCTTAGTTCCCAAGGAGCCGCCGTATGTTTATTAATGGTTTGACGACGATAGTATAAATATTAAAGGAGACTTGACAATTTTATATTCGTCAGCTTGTTATTCACATACAAGTTAGAAAGAAAATCCCACAGATGCAGAGTGATTATATCGACCGTGTAAACTTACACAATTTACAAGTTTGAACTTTCTAATGATTCCGCGATATGTTGTCTACTAAACGATGTAGAACGCCACCATGTACAACTGTGATTAAATCGTTTATAAGCAGTAAATAATAACAAAGCTATTATTATAATTAAAGTTAAAGAAACACATATCTCGATAAACTTGAATTTATTTTGTGTAGCCAAACTACCTTCAGTATTAGATAATTTTTCTTTAATAGGTTCTTTTCTAGCCAACACTAGGGATATCTTATTATCCATCTCAGACATAATGCTTTCTTTTTGAACATCTAAATCATTCTGCAATTCTTGCTTTATTTGATGTATATGTGAAATAATATTATCAAAAGTGGCATTATCTTTTACTAAAGGACTTAAGGAGGGCTTTATTGTAGTGTGCATTGCAACTATCATTTTCAACAGCCTTTCTAGTAAAGAATTAGTACGATTGTTATCTCTATCAATTGAGAGTGCAGCATCATTCAGACGTGATAATTGCTTCATGACATCATTGTTGTACATTTGAATTCGTTCAGTAATATTAGCGAAATAGTTTTTACCGTCAAATTTTAAAGGTTCATAAGTTTTCGATGCACTAGAATTTACCAAGATGGTTTTTAATTCATTAAGAATTTGCACGGAGTTAGTTTCTTCTTGTGTAGACAGTGTGTCTCTTATTGATGTATACTGATTATTGCATGTTATACCGTTTATGTTTTCACTATGTACATCTCGTCTTATTGCCGTTATTTCAATATCACTATCTTGTATTAATTCAAGAATTTTTCTACACGATATAGGATTATCTCCTATACTTAACTTCGATAAAGGAGTGTATGGAAATTTTGTATTGATGTTACTAATTTTGTTATTATCGATTATCAAGGTGTTTAAATTTTCTGCTCCCATAATTTTATCATATTCCAAGCTTTCAATTTGGTTAAATGATAAATCCAAAATATATAAATTTATTAACCCATGTGATATTCCATAATTAATGTTGGCGAGAAAATTATGTGACACGTTTAAAAATTTCAAGCCATAATTAGTTTTGAAGGCACCAGGTTGAACGTATTTTATCATATTGTAACTTAAATCAAGGTATTGTAAATGGCTTACATTAAAAAATGCGTCTTTATCGATTTCTAATATTGCATTGTTATTTATTACTAACTTTTCTAAGCTTTCTAGGCTATTAAGATGTAGAATGGTTATATTTTGTATTCCTGCATAGGATAACTGTAATTCTGTGAGCATAGTATTATTCATATCATTGAAATTTATATTACTCACGATTCCCGAGAGATTTAGACTACGTAAATTGTTTAATGTTGAGAAAAAGATCAGCTTTAAGAGTAAAATAGGATTAAATGATAGATCTATGTGATGTAATGATTTGTGTCCTAGGAATGCGTTATTATGAATATCGTGCAGCCTGTTATGAGAAAATGTTACTTTGAAAAGATTAGGGAAATTTTTAAGTAAATTTGAAGAGATTTGGGTTAATAAATTATTATTTAAAGAAAGTATTCGTAAAGTTTGTAAATCAGTTGCATTTACAGCAAAATTTGAAAGTTTATTATACGACAAGTCAATTATCTCTATGCGTCCAGTGTGAAGAAAGGAATCAAATTCAAGTTCGGTAATTGAACAATGGGAGATATTAAGATATTTTAAATCCCTCATGTTTTGAAATGTATTGTTCTTTACTAATGTAAGATTACAGAAAGAAATATCAAGCCTTGGTAGTAAAACTAACCCGTCAAATGTATTTGAATCCAAGAAAGTTAACGGTGGGTTATTAAATATTTTAAATGTTTCTAATTGTTGTAGCTCTTTAAATAAACTTCTTTCTATTTTTGAAATATTGTTATTGGATAAGTCTAAAACTTGGAGATGAGTAAGTTTATTAAAATCTTCCTGTTTTATATCGTTTATCAGATTATTTCTTAAAGATAGGTATCCCAAATTCAATAGGTCGATTTTTTCAAAATTTATCTTAATAAGTTTATTATTCGAAAGATTGATTTCTTTAACGTTTTGTAAATTTCGAAAAGACTTGTTAGACAAACTCTTAATTTTATTATCATTCAGTAACAATATTTCTAGATTATCTAAACCCATAAACGCATAGTCTGCAATAGACGTTAAATATTGATTTGATATGTCAAGCTCACTAATATCACTAAGACCAATGAACATTCCTGTTACAAGTTCGCCTTCTATAATGTTATTTTGTATAGAAAAAAACGAGATATTTTTACCTCTAAACAATTCTTTTGAAATATGTTTTAGCTTATTTCTTGATAAGTCAACGTACTGTAAATAACGTGTGTTACTAAATACTTCTTTATCAATAGCAAATAAAAAGTTATCACTTAAATCTAATGTGTTCAAAAAAGTCATTTTATCAAAGCTACTCTTTTCTATGTACGATATGTTATTATTACTCAGGTATAATTTATTTAGGTTAAATAAGTTTTGAAAATCTCGACTCAAAATCCTTTCGATTCTATTATGTTCAAGAGATAATTCCTGGAGATCTTTAAATCTTAAAAATGAAGAGTTAATGTCTACTATTTCGTTGTGACCGAGTTGTAATCTTTGTAAGTTATTAATTCCTTCGAAACATAGTATATTCAAAGTGTGCAACCGATTATTTTTTAAATTTAAATATTGCATTTGAGAAAACGAAGAAAATATTGATTCTGGTATTTCTTCTATTAAATTGTGAGATAAATCAACATCTATTAATTCAACGTAAGCGTACTCGGCCTGGTTAACTTCTATTAACTTAATCATGTTGTACGAGAAATCAACAGATTTTAAGTATTGAAATTCGATGTTGTTCGATAATTTAGCAACAATCAAATTATTGTGCGATATATTCAATAACATTAAGTGTGGCATATAATTCAATGTAGGGTGAAGTTTAAGCTGGTTATGACTTAAATCGAGTTGAACAATTGCCATTGTGACATAGTTATTGGGATCATTCCCAATAGATATTTGCTCATCATAATAGTTACCTTGTAATATTTCTCTGTAAACTATATGAACTGGTGCCAATAGTAAGCCATTATAATTTATACATTTGGGGCAATGCCGATACCTATATAATTCTTTAAAATTTGCAACGTAAGGATCCGTATTTCCTGTGCAGTTTATGTTGTAAATAAAATGAATAATATCAAACTTGTGGTTACATTCCAGACTAAATTGGGCGACTGTTTTATTAATTGAGACAACTTGGATGACCAAAAATGTTATCCCTGAAAAGATAAAACACGTAATATTAATATCATGTTACTTATTGTAAATAGATTTGAGTAAAACAGTATTTTGAGATGATATTCAAGGCTTTGTCTTTATCACTACAACATTGTCTTTATCAGGTCGTAACGTTTTACACTGCAAAATTATTATTATTTATTTATTAATTACTACAGGTAGAACTTAATGTGATAGTATCCTTTTTGAATTCTGAAATAAATCTCATGATAATAATATTAAAATTAACTTAGCTAAACAAACTAATGAAAACATACTCGTACACATTTAATATACGAAAACTTTTAAATAAAGCTAATGTTTATACATTAAACTCTACTGTAACATACAATATATTATGACCGTTGCTAATTCACTGAAGTGGCAACTAAATATGTCAATTTTATCATGCACAAGGTTGACCAAGTGAATAGCTAGAGCTAGAGGCGTTTTTGCCAACATGTTAGTGTATTATTAGATTAGGTCTCTCTTCTATTGTAGGAAGAATTTGATTTGAAACGCTTGGCGGAACGAATGGCGATCATAGATAACTCGCACCTTAGTCTTTGCTCCTGTTGCATTTTGGAATGTTTTAAAACAAACAAATTATACGAAGTGATTATTATATATCTTATTATATGAAGCAATTAGATTTTTACTGGCATTCGAGTCTTTCGATATCCAAGGAATGAAATGGGGTGTTGGATTTTCTTATGCTGCCACCATACAGCATAAAATTTTACAATATAAAGTTGTTGAAATAAATTTTGGAACGTTTTTGTTTTCAGTATTAATGCCTAAATCGTGATTAACATTATTAAAATTAGCAATTGAAAATAATAAAGAATTGTAAGGCACTGTTTCATATACAATATACCGTGTGGGTGTAGCATTAGAGATGACCTACATTTCGTCCTTTGGGTGTTGTTAGAAACGACTATAGGAAATACCTATAGATGGCGGTTAAACGATGTTATTAAAACCAGACGTAAAATATGCAGACCAACTACGGGCAACAGCGTCAAATGTTCAAGACATTTGGTATTATGACCGTCAATTCGCCTGCCGACCGTGACAATTATTTATGGAAAATCCCCCCTATGGGAGAGGCTGTACTGAGTGGTAGGCCACGTAAGATTTGGCATTTGAATCGAATATTAAAAAAAAAACGAATAACCTAATTTTTCCAAAATTATAAGTTTATAAGCAAGATTGAAACCTTTCCATTTAGGGATGGAAGACAACATCATTCAAATGACTGCCACGGCTAGCCTTACAATACCCCATTCGATTAGTCCAATTTTCAGTACATTTTCGATTGTTTGGGCCTCTATTTCGTCAATGGCAACTTCGATTTCATCTTTCAAGTCGTCAATCGTCTCTATGTGGTTATCGTAGCACTTGTCCTTAACGGCTCCTCACAATAAAAGTCCAACGGAGTCAAATTGCACCTTCGAGGTGCCCAATTAACATCAGCATTTCGGCTACTTATGCGATTTTTGAAAACAGTGCGCAAAATATCGATTGTTACGTTGGCTGTGTAGTACGTTGTGCTGTCCTCTTGAAACCAAATGTCGTCTGTGTAATCTTCTTCAATTTTGGGAAACAAAAAATCGCTAAGCATGGCGCGGTAGCGATTTCCATTCACTGTAACAGCGTTTCCTTGCTTATTTTCGAAGAAAAATGGCCCAATAATACCACCAGGCCAAAATCCGCACCAGACGTTCACTTCGTTGTGGATGCATTGGTTTCTACACGATGACGACCAATGACGATTTTTGAGCCCAAGATAGGACAATTTTGCTTATTTATCCTCCGAGGTGGAAAAGGAGATCTAAGAAGGTTATTTTTCGGTAAAAATGCTTATCTTCGATCAAGCGCTCTTCGGCCCATGGAGAAAACCGAAAACGCATCGGATGATCATGCGGCTTCAGCTCTTTCACTAATTGAACGTTACTCGCATTCATACTGAGATCTTTATGCAAAATTATTCTCAAAGAAGTGAAATGTTCAATTCTTGAGAACGGTGACGAGTTGATGTTGATGGTTATTCACGCACACTCTGAACAACAGCAGCAATGTATTCGCTTGAGCGCACTGGACGAGTACGTACACGGAGTTTTTTATGCAACAACGATCCAGTTTCACAAACTCGCTTAACAAATTGGTCCACAAACTGTTTTTTTTTGGCACATCCTTTTTGCCAAATTTTTATCGTAAATTTCTTACAGTTTGAGTAAAAGACTCAGCACTTTGGAAATATGTTCTTTATAGTTTCCAACTTTGTTCAAGAGAAAAGCGACCCATTTCATAAATGTAAAACATAAAACTAACTTTTTGTCACATCAGAAAGGTCGTTAAGGCTTTGAACATCAAAATAACCTATAAATCCAATTCCAAACGTTAGATGGCCCAGTCTGTATTACCAAAATACATTTGTTTTCTTTGGTAGCTATGAATGACCGTACAGTTAGCAAAATAAACAAGCGCCGTTGCGTGACGTGGCTGGACGTGCCTTAAACATTCACAATTATAATTTATTTCACACTAAATTTAAAATACCATTTCTGAGTAACTAATTATTTATAAGTAGCTCTGTCTATAAATAATTCATTTGAAATATTCCTTACTATGACCCGATTATAACGCGTTCAAAATTGATTTCCATGTTCGCGATGAAAGAAAGGTAGGTGCTTGATTTATTATTACTATGTTTTAAAGGATGCATATATTAATAGCGTAACTGGTTAGAGTATTTTCATTTCTTTAAATCTTTTTCACATGCGTCTTAGCATTAGTGTATAAAAGACAGAAGAATCAAATACCCCATTTCGTGTCGCGGGTCGTAAGAGGCGACAAAAAGAGATTACGCGTAGATCAAATGCCTTCGATAAATGGCGGTGGTGACACACTCAAGTCACTGGGATTAGCGTCAATTGAGCTAAACTTCTGGTAATGCTATCGCAATTCCAACTACCAAGAGCAACGATCAAATCAAATAGAAACAAATATATCATTTTATGTGGAGTGGGTTGTTCTAGTGCCAAAAGATCTTCACGAGTTGATGATGATGAACAAGAAAATGAGCTCTACTTCAAAACAGAACTACTTTGAAACAGTACAAGTTGAAGAGTGAAATATTATTATGATACTTACATAATATGGGAATATCCATTTTGAATGACCTGTAATTATAAGTAAATAAATTATTTTTGTTTAATGTTTAGTAGGTACTTACAACTGGACTGGGTTGCTACCAGATAACCCTAATTTATTTAAATCACGATTTATTTTTATAAGATTGAATTGACAAACGAACGGACAGCCCACTGGATGGCAAGAGAAAGAGATGTTACATGGTGGTTGAAATATATATATATATATATATATATATATATATATATATATATATATATATATATATATGCATAATATGATAAATATATCTGTGATTTTAGATATTGTGTAAATAAAAAAACATACATAAAAAGTTAAAGAACGTACTCGCTTTTGAAATTTCTTAAAAATTTATCGGATTAAAATTACGCTGTGAAACGTAGTATGATTATTAATTATTTAGAAATAATGTTTAATTAGTCAAATATTAAAAAGGTACCTAAAGAAAACAATTAAAAGAGTGCAAACAACAATATACCTACATTAAAAATAGTATTTTTTGGGCAATTTTTTTTTAATGATTCTTTTAAAAAGTACACTAATTAGTGTTATAAATTGATTTAAAATCATTAACAGAAGTTTGATAAAAAGTTAAGATATTATTGACTAATCATATTAAAAAATATTATGGATACAGTAAAAAAAAATAAAGTACTTCTGTGCCAATAATGCTTTAAATTAAAAAAGCTGTTACAATCCTTTGTCTTTTACCCAATCAAAAAAAAATATCTTACCGAAGGCTTAGATGCTCACAATATCTAGTGATTATATAAATGATGCGTTTAATACTAAGTTAGTAAAAACATGAGTTAGAAGTCTCTATCAGTAGCAATGCAAAATGTAACATGACACTTTAGAGAATGACGAGAATGACTGATGACTGTACAATATTTAAACACTACAATCGTTGAACTGTAGCTGTTAGTTAAATACAGATAATAAAAGTAGTAGTAGATTCTATATTTAAATTGTTTGACTTTATTTGAGCTCATTTGATTATTTTAACAAAGTGCCTTTGTATTTTATCTCAATACAAATGAACCATAAAGGACTACAGTAATTTTGTATTAATGACTGTTTTTATCACTGGTTAGCGTACTTGGTAAATTAGGCAGATAAAGTTTTAAAGTTCAAACCGCACCATCTTGTGGATGTATATTAGAAAAAAAAACGGGTATCTAACTTTATTTTGTTTAAAACAAGGCAGCACAAACAAGCAAAGATACGAGCACACTTCACCTCCTTGATCAAGAATAAAAGTGCAGTTAACAGTTTTATACTTTACATTTTAATTCACATGTTTCCGCATGACTTGTTCTGCGAAACAGATTTTAGATTTTAATCTAGGACTAAACAAACTACGTTTTGTATTAGGGCGGATTTTGTTTTCGTTTTTCATTAATTTTTAAGTTAGGCATGTGGAGTATCCAAGACTTTTTATATATTTTCAG